TTCACCATGTTAGCCAGGATGGTCTCGAACTCCTGACCTCATGATCCACCCGCCTCGGCCTCCCAAAGTGCTGGGATTACAGACGTGAGCCACCGCGCCCGGCCCAGACAAAGGTTTAATTTCCTTTGTCCACAAAGAAATCCCAACTAATAAAAGACAATGCCATTTTTAAATGGACAAAGGGACAGGCAGCTCACAGAAGAGGAAATACTGGCTTTTAAACATATGAAAAGATGCTCAATCTCGTTCACAAAAAAAACGTAAACCAAAGCTACAACAGGCCAGGCATGGTGGTTCATGCCTGTAATCCCAGCATTTTGGGAGACCAAGGCGGGTGGATCACCTGAGGTCAGGAGTTTGAGACCAGCCTGGCCAATATGGTGAAAACCTGTCTCTACTAAAAATACAAAAAGTAGCCCAGTGTGGTGGTGTATGCCTGTAATCCCAGCTACTCAAGAGGCTGAGACCGGAAAATCACTTGAATCCAGGAGGTGGAGGTTGCAGTGAGCCAAGATCATGCCATTGCACTCCAGCCTGGGCGACAAGAGTGAAACTCCATCTAAATAATAATACATTTTAAAAGAATAATAATAATAAAGCTACAGCAAAATACTTTGGGGTTTTGGGGGGGTTGGTTTTCTTTGTTTTGTTTTTTGAGGTGGAATCTTGCTCTGCCACCCAGACTCGAATGCAATGGCACTATCTTGGCTCACTGCAACCTCCCAGGTTCAAGCAGTTCTCCTGCCTTAGCCTCCCAAGTAGCTGGGAGTACAGGCATGTGCCCGTAATTTTTGTGTTTTTTGTAGAGACGGATTTTCACCATGTTGGCCAGGCTGGTCTCGAACTCCTGGCCTCAGATGATCCACCTGCCTCGGCTTCCCAAAGTGCTGGGATTATAGGCCAGAGCCACCACACCTGAGCACATGGCCCCAACAAAATACTTTGTTTCTCTTATTGGATGATTGACAAAGACCAAAAAGTTGAAAACATTGTATGGGCAAGGCTGAGGGCACAGGCCTTCTTATAGATTGGTAGTGGGAGGGTGGATAATTTGGTGTGACTTTTTTTTGAGACAGAATTTCGCTCTTGTTGCCCAGGCTGGAGTGCAATGGTGCAATCTTGGCTCACTGAAACCTCTGCTGCCTGGATTCAAGCAATTCTCCTGCTTAGCCTCCCGAGTAGCTGGGATTGCAGGCGTGAGCCGCCGTGTCCGACCTGGTGTGACTTCTAAAGAGAGCAAGATTTAAAATGCATAATCTTTGACCCAGAAATCTCAATTCTAAGAATGTATGGTTATACATGAAAAAAAAATACAAGTGTTGCAGCATTCTTTTTAATAGCAAAAGATTGGAAACAATCTAAATATCCATTAATAGCAGACTGGTAAAACAAGTGTTGGTATGATATACGATGGAATATTATATTGTGACCAAATAGAATGAGGCATAGCTAATGGTATTCATAGGGACCATCTTCCAGATTTATTATTAAGTGAAAAAACAAGGTGTAGAACAAAGTGTATACTGAATGTGCATACAAGCATGGTAGTACAGATGGAGCATCCCTACTCCAAAAACCCAAAATCTGAAATGTTCAAAAATCCAAAACTTTTTGAGTACCTGACATGATGCCACAAGTGGAAAATTCCATACCTGACCTCATATACACAAACTGTTTCATGCACAAAATTATTTAAAACATAGGCCGGGCTCAATGGCTCAGGCCTGTAATTCCAGCACTTTGGGAGGCCAAGGCGGGAGGATTACCTGAGGTCAGGAGTTTGAGACCAGCCTGGCCAACATGATGAAACTCTGTCTCTACTAAAAATACAAAAATTAGCTGGGCATGGTGGCAGCCGCGTGTAATCCCAGCTACCCGGGAGGCTCAGACAGGAGAATCACTTGAACTTGGAAGGCAGAGGTGCAGTAAGCCAAGATCACACTATTGCACTCCAGCCTGGACAACAAGAGCGAAACTCCATCTCAAAAAACAAAACAAAACAAAACAAATATTTAAAACATTATACAACATTCCCTTCACGCAATGTGTATCAGGTGTATATGAAACGTAAGTAAATTTCATATTTAGACTTGGGTTTCAGTCCCAAGATATTTGGGATATTTCATTATGTATGCACAAGTATTTCAAAATCTGAAAAAATCTGAAATCCTAAACACTTCTGTTCCCAAGCATTTCAGATAGGGGATATTCAACCTATACATATGTAGACATCTCTGGAAGGAAACACTAACAAAAACATTAACAGTGGTGGCTGCCAAGAGCGGAACAAGATGAAAGAGACTTATTTTTCTTGTTCCTAAATCTCTCTGATACTTTTCGAATTTTGAAACATATGCACCTAATAACTTCAAATTCATACTGATTGTTAAAAATTGAGTTGGGGGAAATAAGACATTGACAAGAAGCCAAGTGCTATCATACAAGGAAGCCCATGCCAGGCGCCAAATGAAAAAATAG